CCCCCCCCCCCCCCCCCCCCCCCCCCCCCCCTCGGGCCCCTCTTGCTGTCTTGTTCTCAGCTTCCCCCGCCGAAGAAGCCGGTATCTCAGCCCCAGCAGATCGCCGCCCGCGCCCCGGCCGCGGTCCCCAATCACCTGTCCTCGCTTGGCCGCAGTGGCTCGGTTCGCTCGATTGACACGGGCGCCGGCATGTCGCGCACGCCGGTCATGAGGCATCCGCATGAGCTGGTCGACAGCGACCTGGTCGTGCCGATGCTCTCCTTTTCCGTGACCCCCGGCCATGAGACATCCTTCATGCTGAGCTCCGAGAGCCTGGCCCTGGAGGGGTCCCATTCGCAGGCCACCTCGCTGGCCGGCGACACCGGGACACCCCTGTCCTCGTCTTTGCCCCTGTCTGTGGTGGCCTCCTCTTCGCTGGTCGATGATGGCGGGCTGGCGATCGCCGTGGACCGGGCCCCGAAGAAGGGCACGAAGAAGCGCCGAAAGAAGCGCACCCCGACGGTGCGTGCTCACATGGTGAATGTGTCTCCTCGATCGGGGCCGGCCCTTGCAGCCCCTTGACTGACCTGTGCTTCGTCCTTGGGCAGACCTCCGACTCCCTGCCGCCCCTGCCCGGGAGCCTGCCAGCCGACAGCTCGGTTCCCCTTGCCCGGGCGTCCGTTTCAACGGTGTCCCCCTCACAGCGCACATCCATCCTGACCGGCGGAACCATCATCAGCCAGGTGGATGAGATTCTGCTGAAGTATGCCGGCGCCAGTGAGCCCGAGGCCGCGGGCTCCGCCCCGGTCACCATGCCGATTGCCATGCCAGGTGCCCCGCAAGCCGGAGCCCCGGCGACCGGGGCCTCCTCATTCACGGGCCCCACGTCCGTGGGCGACTCGCGTTCCGGCACCACCGGGAGCGCCACCACCCCCACAAGGAGGGGCATCCTGTCGGCCACTGTGGTCCCGGCTCCGGGCGAGCCAATGGCCCGGTCAGCAGACTCGACGTTCGGCGTGTCCCCCCTGTCGTCGGTCGAGTCGTCTGGTGCCGGCGTGGCCCCGGTGCCCGAGAGCAGTCCCGATTCGCCGGCCCTGCTGGTTTCGCTCGATGGGACGACCGTGGCCGATTGCGAGGCTGCCTCCCTGGCGGCCGGGTCACGGCCACCATCCTCGGTGATGGTGGCCACCATTGGGTCCCCCCTTTCGCCCTCTTCCTCGGATGCCGGGTCCCCGTCGGCCGTTCTCGTGTCGGCGATGGGCCCCTGCCCGACGGCCGGCATTGATGCGGTCGACGATGACGAGGGGAATGCCGACGGGAACAGCGCCGAGGAGGACGACGATGAGGGGGATGCGGCGGAGGAGGAGGAGGATGATGACGAGGACGAGGACGACGAGGACTACGCCCTGGGCTCCAGCTCCGACAGTGACTCCTCCATCGACATGATTTCCTCTTCGCCGGTTTTGGTGTTTGTCCCGGCCACGGTGGTCAGCGCCCCGCGGCCGGCGCCCTCGGCCCAGCTGGCCCAGCTGTCGACCGGGTCCCAGCTCAGCAGTGCCCTGGCCCGCGCGGACCCGGCCAATGGGGCTGTCTTCAGCGCCCAGCAGACACACCCCCACCGGTCGATCTTCTCCTCGGTTAGCCCACTGGCCGGGTCTCTGGCTGCCAACCTGGCGGATCAGGTCATCAGTCGGTCTCTGAGTTTCACCGGCGATCGGGCCGCCCGTAAGCGTGCGCATCTCCCTGGGCCTTCTTCTTTTTTTTTTTTTTTTTTTTTCATTTTACACCTACCATTTGCGTCCCCCCCCCCCTCCCTCTCCGCCTCCCTCACACTTGCCTGACCCGTGTCCCCCTTCCCCGCTGCCGGCAGTCACCGACAAGGATGTCTCGCGTGCCCATTGGATTCCGGACAATGCGCCGGAGGCAGCCACCTGTCGGGTGGCCTACTGCCACAAGCGCTTCTCGCTGAAGCACCGCCGGCACCACTGCCGCGTGTGCGGGCTGACCGTTTGCACGGACCATTCGACCAAGCGCCTGCCGCTGGATCGCCAGGCCCGGTATGATTTGGTTCACGGTGTCAACTGCCGCGTTTGTGATGTCTGCTTCTCCGATGCCAAGTGTACGCCCTTTCTCCCCCCCTCCCCCCCCCCCTCCTCCCGCCATCGCGTGCGTTGGTATCAATATCACCTGCTGGCTTGCTCACATGTAACCACCCTAAAGCTCTTTCACGGCAGCGGCAGACCTCCGAGCTCGGCGACGAACTCCCATCCAGTGCGGTGTGTCTTTCTTCACGGGAACCCCCCCCCCATCATTCCTCTTCTTTCTTCCCGGGGCCCCCTTTCATCCACCTTCTGGCCTCTTTCGCCACCCACAGACTGCTCTGACATGCTGCCGGTTCGCCCGCCTTCCCTTCCTCTCTCTCTCTCTCTCTCTCCCTGCCTCCTCTGCCCAAGCTCGCCATCCCCGTGAGCAACCAGCTGGTCAGCTGGCAGAAGGCCGATTTCGGCCGCCTCAGTCTCTCGGTCTTCGGGCCGGAGTATGTGATGAATCGTCTGCTGTCCTTTGCGCGGATGCCCAATTGCGCGGTTTGCGGATCTACCGTGTCCGTCTCCTCGATCGTGTCGCTGGTCCAGCAACTGCTCGGTGCCACCGGGCTGACGGAATTCCAGAAGCGCCTCCGCTTGAAGGGGGGACCCACCCGGGATTCGTCCACCGGGTTGGCGGTTTCGCTGGAGACCAATGGCCTGGAGCCCCCGAGTGGGACATCCCGGGCCTCCTTCACCGGTGGTGGGCTGTCCTCCTCCGGGTCGGGCCCCGGTGGCCAGCCCCCCGCTGCCACCATCTCCAAGAAGCAATTCACCATGGTGGCCAGCTTCTGCCATGCCACCGGCATGGTCTTTTGCGAGCAGTGCATGCTGCCGGCCGATGTGACTCCCTGCTTGCCGGGCCCGGCCCTGCTGCACTGGGATTTCCAGGGGCAACCGGTGTCCAAGCACATTGTCCACCTTCTGGAAGCACTTCATGGGTTCCTGGTGGCCGACGACCTGCCGGACCTGCCGAGCCTGGTGGAGCTTTCCACGCCGGCCGGTGGGGAGCTGCTGCGACTGGCCCCTGCCGGGTTTGGGCAGAATTTCCAAAAGTACAATGTGGCCGAGTGCTTCATCGCCAATGACGAGTGCCCGGAGACCGGGATGATTTACACTTCGCGGTGTAGCCTCTTGGATGTCGTGCGCCCCGTGCGCCTGGCTGTTGTACGTTGCCTCGCCTCCCTTTGCCAGTGCTCCATTGCATCCCTGCCCATGTGTCTGACATGCATGTGTCCCTGTGTGTGTGTGTGTGTGTGTGTGTCAATGTGCCCATCACGCTGGCAGCTCATTCGCACTCGACTCCAGCGCCTGCTCGCGCGGATTCACGATTGCCCGGAGCGCGCAACCAACCCCCTGCTGGATCGACTCATCGACAGCCCCCTGTCCCCGCGGCTGGACCAGCCGGCCACGCTCTTCACCCTGGCCGAATTGGTGTACCTCAATCGCGGGCAGCTGCTCGACCTGCTGCGAGCCATCACCCTCAAGGCGCACTTGCATGTGGTGGACTGTCACCATTGCTCGGTGGTGGTGGGCGAGACTTGCCCCCGGTGCTCGCAGCCCCTCCCGGACATCTACTTCCCGCAGGCCGATGGAGATGGGTGCTTCCGTCTTGCCAATACCCGCGACCATGACCCGGACCAGCCGGCCAGCCAGGAGGATGCCGAGATGGCCTCCTTCCTGGACACGGCCAGCCAGGACTTCACCGACGTGCTGTTGCAATTTGACCGGCCGCCCTTCCACACGTCGCCGGGGCCCAGCCCGTCGCCGCTGATGGCCGACGGCAGCTCGGCCTCTCCCACTGACTATCGGCCGGCCGCTTGGCGATCGGTCACCTCGCTTCTGTCAAAGAAAAAGCGCCATGACAGCATGGCCGGCAGTCCGCCCACCAGGACCAGCCTTTCGGAGTCTTCGCGTCCATCGGACAGCCTGGCCATCAGCGACGACGCCTCGGACCGGTGGCACTACATCGACGCCGAGGAGTGGGCCGATTTGCCGGAGGTCTTGCAGTCGCTCATGGAGAAGACCCACCGGTCGGCGGTCACCTGCCCGGGGCTTTGCCGGCGGATGATGCACTCCGAGTGCTATGATGGCCGGCTGGGGTCGTTCATTGCACCGGCCAGCCCCAGCGGTGCCCGACGTGCCGGTGGTTCCTCTCGTGGGGGGTCCTCCGTTCTGCCGACCCTGACAACCTTGCAGGTGTCCTCCATGGTCTACTCCGCCATGCAGTACGCGTCGCGCATCAATCCCGGCCACGATGCGCGCACCTCGCGCCTGGAGATCATCGACTACCTGTCCAGCTCAAGCCTGGCCCGGAAAGCCGGGTCCCCGAAGCACAGGGGGATTGCCTCCTTCCTCAATGCCCCGGTGCCGGGGTGTCAGTCATGCTCCATGATTGCCTCCATGCTGGAGATGATGCCAGACCAGTGAAGCGCTGAGGAGAGGGGCGGGGGGGGGGGGGGG